TTGTTGTTGTTGTTGCAGCCCTCATTGTTGTTTGGAGGCCCGGACTGCATTCGAACCTGCCACCTTAGGTGTATGTGGCTGGCGCCTTAGCCGCTTGAGCCACAGGTGCCGAGCCTCTGAATTCATTCTTAAAGCCAGTTGGTGTCTACAATGGAAATAGACCAGCTCTAGTCTTCAACTTACTGACAGTACAGGTGTCACCATGATGAGATTAGCTGCAGGGCCACCCCCAGTAGCCTCTTAGCAGGTATTTCTCTCTGTAAAGCTGTCTGAGCAGGTTTGCTCTTTATACATGTGGCACGTGTTCTTGCACTTTGTGCGGGAACAGATGCAAGCCCCCATCTGTTTTTATGAAGCCACGAGGCCTACATTTCAAGATTTAAGGCCAAAGCACTGGAAAGATTGTCCATCAGACCTCAGGCTGTATAGAACCATTAGGAAAAGAAAGTTTTAGTGAATAAAACACAGAAAGTTTGCACAATTCAACGCAACACTGAAAATAAAAAAACACAGTACCTTAGAAATGTCCCCTGAGTTGGTCTGAGGAGGAAGCAGTATTTTTCTTGATGCCCATTGGTAAACGGATTAGCGATGCTTACAGGTGCTTCCTCCAGCCTCCGCGAGCCCATGTCCTGCCGGCAGAGGGGGCAGCGCTGGGGCGCGCTGAAGCTGTAGATGGATTTCTCACAGTGGCTGAATTTAATTAAGGGCTTTCCGGCCTCTGCCTGGTGCATAGCTTTCTCCCTCGGGCTCCCAGAAGAGGTTTCTTCCTTTTCCTCATTATACAGCTGGCAAGTGCAGGCTGCCCTGAGTAACCTGATCAACAATGATGTCATCCAGGTAGGATTAACCAGTAACCAGGCTGCCCATAAACTGGTTTCTTAAAGAGCTAGTTTTCATTTGTGTTCATTACAGCAACTGCTGACAGCCAGCTCCTGTCCATCCCTTAAAGACCTCCTTCCTCTAGTCTTCCCTTTCACTGACAGTACTGGATTCATATTTTTACCAGAACTTCGTTACTAGTTTTGTTTGTGTATTAGTCTGTGAACTTGTTAGGATTGGAGACTGACCTTTATTTTTGTGTTCCCAGAATAAGTTATATTGCTTTGTTGTTGCATAAATAAATACTTTTTTTTTTTTTTTGAGACAGAGACTCAAGCTATTGCCCTAGGTAGAGTACTATGGCGTCACAGCTCACAGCAACCTCCAGCTCCTGGGCTCAAGCGATTCTCCTGCCTCCGCCCCCTAAGTACCGCTTAGCCGCTTGAGCCACAGGTGCTGAGCCCATAAATAAATACTTTAAGACTATTTTATTTTGACATTTAATATTGCAGAGGTAATCTTTCTCATAAATAATTAACAGCACCATTAGAAATAAGGATAGTGGTTACTCTAGGAGGAGAATACTGACTGGGAGAGGGCAGAGACTATTTCTGGGGCTGTTCTGATTCATTATCTGGGCATTGATTTATTTAGATTGTGAAAAACCATCAAGCTGTTCATTTTACTACATGTATTATTTTAAAATAATGTTAAACAACTGCACAAAAACATTTTTTAACAAAGTAGTATCCTTGGCTTGGCACCCGTAGCACAGTGGTTCCAGCGCCGGCCACATACACTGAGGTTGGTGGGTTCAAACCCAGCCCGGGCCAGCTAAACAACAATGACAACTGCAACAAAAATTAGCTGGGTGTTGTGGTGGACACCTATAGTCCCAGCTACTTGGGAGGCTGAGGCAAGAGAATCGCTTGAGCCCAAGAATTTGAGGTTGCTGTGAGCTGTGACGCCATGGCACTCTTCCCAGGGTGACTCTGGGAAGTGAGTCACTGTGAGACTCTGTCTCCAAAAAAAAAAAAAGTAGTACCTTTTGTTTCTTCCATAACATTTGCCCACCCCCCATATTCTATTATGGTATATCAGCTGATGGTACATCAGGTGACTACTTCCACATTGTGAAAACCCCAAATGTTTTTGTACTGTATACTGTTTCATTGACTTGCTTTTTGTTTTTTTAAAAAAAGCTAGTCGAGGGTGGCACCTGTGGCTCAAAGAAGTAAGGCACCGGCCCCATATGGTAGCGGGTTGAAACCCAGCCCCAGCCAAAAAACTGCAAAAAAAAAAAAAAAAAAGCTAGTCAAGTGAAGCAGTGGAAATGGAAAAAAAACAATGGAATTCCAGCTACTCCAGAGACTGAGGAACGATCACTTAAGCCCAAGATTTTGAGGTTGCTGTGAGCTGTGACACCATAGCACTCTAACCTAGGGTGACTACAGGCACCTGGACAGCCAGGGTGACAGACACCTGCCACAATCCCAGATATTTTTTAGAAACAGGGTCTTGCTCTTACTCAGGCTGGTCTTGAACTCCTGAGCTCAAGCAATCCACCCACTCGGCCTCCCAGAGTGCTAGGATTACAGGCGTGAGCCATTGCACCCAGGCTTAATAAACATTTTTAATACGCTAGCATTTTAATACACAGGCATCTTTTCTTACCTTATCTCTACTTTTTAAAATACTGTTATAAAACATACAGAATACTACACAAAACAAATGTGTCATTTCATGAATTATTTGCGTGTCAATCCCTTAGAACTACCACACAGGGCAAAAACTAGAATATTCCTGCCTTCTCAAAAGTCTCTCCCTCCCCTAGTGTCCATTCCAGGGTGAGCCCCCATTTCCTCCCTTCAAGAGTGACCCCAATCTCATATTTGTAGGTGTCATTGCTTAGGTTTATTTTGGGGGTTCATCACCCAAGTGTGCATCTGTAGCTATTACGTTTGAGTCTTGCCCATCACAATTTTTTGGATCCACTGTTTCCCCTATAATGCATCTGTGAAGCACCAACTCATTTGTTATAGTGTCTCCTCCAGTATGACGTTGCTGACTGCGTGCTCCAGCTGGGTTTGCTTCAACATGCTGCTCTGTCCACCTGGCAGGTGCTTCTTGAGACCAGCTCAGACTCTGGTTTGATCCCCTGGATGAGACTGCAGGAGGTGGTGACTTCTTTCATTTAAAAGCACATCATGAGCTCGGCGCCTGTGGCTCAAGTGGCTAAGGCGCCAGCTACATACTCCTGAGCTGGCAGGTTCGAATCCAGCCCCAGCCTGCCAAACAACAGTGATGGCTGCAACCAAAAAATAGCTGGGTGTTGTGGCGGACGCCTGTGGTCCCACCTACTTGAGAGGTGGAGGCTTGAGCCTAGGAGTTGGGGGTTGCTGTGAGCGGAGATGCCACGGCACTCTACCCAGGGTGACAGCTTGAGGCTCTGTCTCAAAATAAATAAATAAACAAATGAATAAATAAAAGCACATCATGGCTGGCCTTTACTCTGCAATGACATTAGTGACCATTCTAAATGCCTAGAAATCTATTCATTCATTGAGGGTGGCTCAGAGAGGATAGTTTAAGTGGATCATTTTGTTTTCTTCATGCCTGAGCTACAATGATTTTACAAGGAGACACTTCCCCTCAGCTGTTACTTAGTTACCCAGAGGCTCAGTCAGTCATACAGGAAGGATTGGATATGTGCCTGATTCTTTACTCACATTTCAAGATAGTGAGAGTGTCTCTGTCACACTCAGCATGTCCCCAGTTGGTTTCATATCCTTTTCCCTAAATGTCACTATAAACTCACAGATATAAACATATTAGATGCATTCTAATCCAGTGAAATTTTCACTCTTATTGAAGCTCAAATTGTCTTGTCTTTAGCCTCCTCCATTGGCTCTTGAGTCCTTTTCCTATCACCCTAGGAATCTCTGATGATTTCTTTCTTATCTACTATGTCAAAATGTTTGGGTTCATCCATTCCTGCCCCAGACCTAGAATCAACCATTTCTCCAAGAAACCCTACTTTCTTTAAGTGGGAAAGTCTTTTAAGGTCCCATTAAAAGACCTTAAACTGGGTGGTGCCTGTGGCTCAAAGGAGTAGGGCGTCGGCCCCATATACCGAGGTGGTGGGTTCTAAACCCAGCCCCGGCCCAAACCTGCAAATAAATAAATAAAAATTAAAAAAAAAAAAAGACCTTAAACCTGGAGGGTGTCAGTACTTTAAAATGGGAGTCTGCCAACCTCATTTGCTGGCAAATTAATAGACTTCTCTTTCCTTCTCAAAAAGAAAAAAAAAAAAGACTACAATCTGTCCGCTGGGGGGTGCTCTTTACTGCTGGATTGGTTATGATCTCTCTGGCTGTGCAGTAGAGAGAGCAGGATTTTAAAAAATCACACACACACACACACACACACACACACACGGTGCCTGTGGCTCAGTGAGTAGGGCACCGGCCCCATATACCAAGGGTGGTGGGTTCAAACCCGGCCTGGCCAAACTGCAATGAAAAAGGGCCTTGTGGCGGGCGCCTGTAGTCCTAGCTACTCGGAGGCTGAGGCAAGAGAAGGCTGAGGCAAGAGAATCATCTAAGCCCAGGTGCTGGAGGTTACTGTGAGCTGTGACAGCACAGCACTCTACCAAGGGCAACAAAGTGAGACTGTACAAAAAAAAGAAAAGAAGGAAGGAAGAAATATTCCATAAGTTGATATTATTATTATTATTATTTCTAGAAAGATCCTCAAGCTGTCGCCCTGGGTGGAGTGCCTTGGCATCACAGCTCACAGCAACCTCC